TGATCCTGACCTCCACAATTGAAACAAGTGATTTTTTTTTCTTCTCCGACATCATAATTCATTTTTCTAACTGTACTATCTTCATTCTTCTTAAAATACTCTTTCTTCATTTTACAAGGTTGTTCGTGTACATTGGCCTTCCCCTGAATTCGTTCATACAGCTTAATTTTTTCTTTCAGATCAGCAAAATCTTTAGCTCCATACAACACGATCTTATTTGACGAATCGTCTTCAATTCCATCAATTATATATTCTATAACCACCTCAGGCTCTATGTACGCGCGACTTGCCATTTCTTTCATCGTAATCATATACTCTTGCACAGTTTCATCATATTTTTTTCTTCTTGTTGATAGCATTTTATGTATTTGCGCACTGTTGACGCTAACTCCGAATTCTTCAATGAGTTTTTGTTTTAGGGTTGATCAATTTCGTATTCCTTTTTCAGATTGTATGAAAAGTTTTGCGAGGCCTTTCAGACATTTCTTCGCGTAAATTAACTTCTGGAGTTCGTTCCACCCAGTGACTTCTGCCACTTCTTCGAATTCCATAATCCACGTCTGGATAGGATATTCATCTTTCCCATCGAAAGACCTGATGCTATCTTCCACATCTCGAAAACTTAATGCAAATGAGTCTTGTTTCTTATTGAACATCGTATCCAAATAGCGATAACCTCCATCGTCGTCTTCTCGTCGCGATCTTTCTTCATCTTGCCATCGCCTAAATTCTTGTTCTCGCCTATGGTCGTATTTTGGTGCAATTTCCTCTTTGCGCCAATAATCATATTTTCGTCTTTCATTTAGTTCAATATCTTCTTCTTCTCTGTGTCTTTCATCGTAGTTTCCTGTTTTCTCAATTCTTCGTCTTTCATAGTTGCAGTTGTCATCTTCACTTTTCTGTCTGTCTTCATTTCTGTGTCGTGTGTCGCATTCTCGTTTATCTTTTTCGTCTTCTCGTCTCTCTGCATAGGCATATCTATCTTTTTTGTTTTTTCGTCTTTCTTCATGTGCACGTCTATCTTCTTCGTCTTGTCGTCTTTCTTCATATGCACGTCTATCTTCTTCGTCTTTTCGTCTTTCTTCATACGCACATTTATCTTCTTCGTCTTTTCGTCTTTCTTCAAATCTGCGCTTCTTCGCTTCGTCTTTCTGTTTTTTCTCATAGTTAATTTTTTCTACTTTCTTTCGTCATCCTTTTGCACAACCTTCATCTCCACGTCTTTCGCGTTCACGTCTTCCATCTTCACGTCTTTCGTCTTCACGCTTTTCGTCTTCACGTCTTTCGTCTTCACGTCTTTCGTCATCACGTCTTTTGTCCTCACATCTTTCGTCTTCACGTCTTTCATCATCACGTCTTTCGTCTTCATTCTCAGAATCCGAGCTATCGTCCTCTGATTCATCCGTCTCCTCTTCGTCTCCTTCATCAACGTTGTTTGGATAGGAAAAGGTTGTCAAAAATGAACAAATCCTACAAACCACATCTTTTTCGTTTGTAAAATTTAGCCCTAATAATTGACAGACTCTGGTTAAATCAGAAAGCTTAAAATTCTTAGAAACATCCTCAACTTTTGCAAAATATTCAGGAGATTGATTGACAAAATCATCACCAGAAAACGCGCGCAATGCCTTTCGCCTCTTTCTCTGCTCTCCGTTAGAAGCAAAACAAATATAGTGCAAAACCTTGATAACTCTCAATTTTGTATGTGTTATATTATAGTCAACATTACCTATTTCACTCAAAGTTAATTTCAAAGTTGCCATTTTTTAAAATTTCGTTAAAAAAAATTAGGAATCTGTGTTGAAAGTAAAATTTTTCACTGAATAAAGTACTTTTTAGAGCTGGCAATAAATAGTTTATATCGAGGTTTATATTTACCAACGCACTGAAGTCTGACTGATTAATCAATGTCACGAAAAAAAAAAATTCTACAAATGTCTCGCACCTTAGAATCAATTTTTGATAAATACCTTAGTGAAAAGCACTCTCACAGGACTATATGTCACGCCCAATATTGCAGCACTTCTTTCACGTCGTTTCGTCGTTATAGCAGCAATAGGAACATTCAGGCTAACATCATTTACAAGCAACCATCACTGCTTGATTCACTACTTCGGTTTTATCGAGCTTTATTGATCACTATCGTCGTATTTTATTTTCCTTCTATCCCGGACGAGCCCCCAAAATGTAGGGTTTTGTAGTTGTCTAGGGGTGAATGAAACAACACAGTTCTTCTAGTGCATTCATGACAGACTTATTTTTATTCGTCACTCACTCTGACATCACAGAACATATCACCTGATGATATGTTCTGTGTCTGACATAACAATTTAACAACTGGTATCCATTAATACTGGTACTTGATTAAAACTAACAAAGGTACTATAAATTAGGTAAACGGTAAACTAGGTGAACATAGGTATATGGAATTACCAATCCTACAATATAGACCTTTGGAGAGAAGCTCGAAATCTCATGAATCATGACAAACTAGAGGCTCACAAAGTGAAGGAGTTTGAATGCTTAAGTTATGATCTGGAAAAAACGTTACCTCTTCCTCGAATTCCTACTGGTATCGTTTTCTACAAGAGGCAGTTGTGGTTGTATAACGCTGGTGTTCATTCTTTTGAAAACAATCAAGGATATTGCTACGTTTGGACAGAAAATCAAGCGGGTAGAGGGGCTCAAGAAATTGGTTCATGTTTGATTAAGCATATTGAGACCAAAGTGGAGAGTGGAATAAAGGATCTTGTTTTGTGGAGTGATTCATGCGGTGGCCCAAACCGGAATATTAAGATGGTCTTGATATTAAAATCGTGCCTTGAAACTCATCCCACCCTGGAAACAATAAAAATGAAATATCTTGTATCTGGACACAGCTTTTCAGCTAATGACACTGACTTTAGCGATATTGAAGGAGCATTAAAACATGTACAAAGGCTTTATTTGCCAAGTGACTACGTCCAAGTTATGAAAAGAGCTAGAAAAAAAAAAACATTTATTGTAACTGAAATGCAAAGTCTTGATTTTTTTGGGACACAAAAATTGGAAAAAGCCATAGTTAATAGAAAAATAGACGAAGAAAAAGAAAAAATAAACTGGCTTAAAATTCGAGAAATCAAATTGCTAAAGGAAGAACCTCTGAAACTATATTGTCGTAATGACTTTCAATCGCCATATTCTGTTATAAACTTAGAACGTAAACCTGCTAGAGGACGACAACAAAATGAAATTTCTTTTAGAGGTTTACTTCAGCCAATGTGGGAAAAGGAAAATGATATTGCAGCCCCAAAGTTGAAGGACCTAAAGTCCCTATTACATCTTATTCCAGCTGATGCGAAGGATTTTTATCGCAATCTCTCTGGTAGTCGCGACGTGGAGGATGATGTGGATAGATTTTGTATTCCGCCTGATTTTGAGCCAGACAATGTTGAAGAGGTGTAGTTGATAAGATTTTAGAAAAAAAAAATGTATTGAAGAAAATAATTATTAAGTTGTAAGGTGAATAAAAACCAATTATGTTTTTTAATTTTGTCACATAAAAAGCTTTGCGACCGAAAATGCATTATTTTTGATTTCATTAAAACCCTATGCATTTCGTAGAACGGAACCAACAACATTGATTTTTTTCTGCATTTCAGATAATAATTTTTTTTACTATGAGAGAAAGGAACCAAACCACAAAAATTTAAAAATGAGCAATAGCTATTGTAAGTCAATTGATATTTTTCATTGAAAAAGTTACAATAAGTATTACCTCACCCCTCTAAATTAAAATCAGTAGGTACTTTCTAAACTAATGCTAATTTATAAAATCACTTTTACTTCAACCACCATTACAGATTGTTTATTATTTTTTCCGAATTTGAATTTACTTTTTCCGAATGTGAATTTACTTTTTCCGAATTTGAATTTATTTTTTTCGAAATTAACTTTACTTTTTCTGAAATTGATTTGACTTTTTCCGTAAATGACTTTACATTTTCCTAAATAAAAGTTACTTTTTCCGAAATTGAGGTTGAAATGGTGTAGACACATAGCAAGTGAAAAGACGAGTTAGCTTGTACCCAGTTTGGGCGAATCGAGGGGGTGCTGCCGGGGCCGAGTATAGCCGAGCGTTACGATCCTGCAGTGAAATGGGTATCAGTTAACTGGTCCCATTGAAACCTATGTGTCTAGTAGCCGGGTCCTGCCTGTATAAATAATATATTGGGTAAATGCAGTAGTAGTTGACATGACAAAGAGAAAATAGGTATGTATTTTACTTTACCCTAGATATATGTTTATTACTTAAATATGTAGGTACTATCAAATATTATATTTTCTTTATTTTGAATGCGGCAATGTACAAAATTATCAAAAATCAATACCAATTCATTCATTCAATTTCATTTATTATCTTAGTATAGAATCTGGTGTTCAAATATAATTTTATTCTCTTCGCAATGGTTCTTGTTACCTCAGCTTCACTTTTTGGAAAAAATTATTGTGAATGTTTATGTTTTCTTTTCTCGCTAGAAAATTTAACCAATACAAATTCCCCCTCTTTATAGGTGGCCTTTTTTCGGCTTTTCTCTTTCTTTCATCTATCAGCATGATCTTTTTTTTTTTAGTTAAGTATAGTTTGCCGTTTGAGGTAAATGATAAAATTTCGTCACACGATCTTAATGGTTTTCTTCAATTGGGGTTGTGAATTACATGCCAGCGATTCCGATTATTTCCTCAGTATTGATACCAACTGAATTTGAAAGTCATATTATAGGCCCTGATTACTGGATACCTACCATTGTTGCTCGCTTGAGGTTTATCAATTTGTTGTGCAGTTGTTTCTGAGTTTGAAACTTTTTCTTAGGAAATCTTTTAAAATGTAGAGTTCATTTATGAGTTTCACCATTGAGCAAAATTAATTAAAACGCTTATTTATTTGTCTCCTCAAAATTCAATATCTACGTCGATGTCAATTATTAGTGCCTTTACCTTATGATAATATGAGAAATTACTTTTTAAATAAGTCTTCATCGTAGAAATTTGGTAAATTTTCATTGTTTTCGGTGAAGGAGTCAGCAGTTTCATCGCATGGGACTTGGGCGCCTTCGGTTAGTAAGTTTTCGACAAAAATGTCAGCTGAAAGTGGAGAAATATAATTTTACAATCTAATTTCAGAGAAACTAAAATTACCTTATACTTACCTTTCTTATGAAAATCGTCCATTATTATTGTGCTGTGACTTTAGAAATCGGACTGGCAAATTTTTGACATTAGTGGAGTCATGACAAGGATCACTGATTTATCTGAAAATAAATAAAGAATAAGAACCAATAATAATTAGGCTTTTGGTTATTTGGATGAATCATTTAAATTAAAATATAAATGAACCATCTACTCTTCTAAAGTATTTTCTTTATGGAAAGGGATGAATATTGAATTAGGCTGAACCAGACTGTTTTGTTTCACTTTTGGTAATTTATACAGGGGATCCCTACTACATGGGGATTTCGGAAACGTTATGAGATACAATTTTATGGGTCAATTCTGTGCAGATCTGTGAGCCATTCTATAAATTTCTATAAGCCCCTGCCTAAAGACAATTTGTAATTTCGCACTTCCTGTAGATTACAGAATATATTATAGGATCGTAAATATTTCCGATGGAGTGTTTGGCAATCGATGCGTTTTGCAGTGTCTATAGGCTTATAGAAATTTATAGATTCACTTTAGGGTTGCCAGACGTCCCGATTTTAACGGCATGGTCCCGATATTGGAGATTTTGTCCCGTGTCCCGATGGACTATATGTCGGGACACTAAATGTCCCGATTTCACGAAATTTTTTTAAAAGTTGGAAAAAATTGAAAATTTAAAAAAATATACTTATCACTTATTTTTCAATTGTAGCTACTTGTGAATTATCTATTACTATTATCACGATTTTTTTCGTTTCCACGATATATAAAATAAGTAATGTATTTTATTATTTTTCGTTATTTTTTATTTTCAAATTTTATTAAAAGTTATTGCTCAGTTTTATTCGAGGGGTGTTTCACTCATGCAGTAGGTGTAGGTACAAATTTGATACATTCATGTATATGCAATCCATACATTCTCATACAGTCAATGAGTCAATGGAATACATGGACTCATGCAGTCATAATACAGTCGCATGCAATCATAATACAGTCGCTTGCAATCGTAATAGATTCCGTGCAGTCACTTGCAATAGCTTACATTCCATATATACCTACAATCGCGAAAAATCGTAAGCAGTCGCTGCGAGTGGACCCTGCAATCTTGTTAGATATTGGCTCAAAAGTCCATGCAGTCAACTATCATCTTTGATGCGATCAATGCAGTCAAATACAGTAGGTGTACAAAATTTAGTGGGTGAAACACCCCTTGGTTTTATTTCATTTCCTTTATATTGAATTATTCCTTTAAAAAACCAGTGTCCCGATTTTTATTCAACGTCCCGATTTTTTAACAGCTTTTTGATTGGTATACCCGATTTATAGATATTCCAATCTGGCAACCCTAATTCACTTACAGATGTGCACAGAATTGACCCGTTAGGCTATTAGTAGGAGAGCCGGCAATATTAACGGGTATGTGATCGTTGCAATTGATAATTTTCACATAAAAGAATAGCTCATAGTTACCTTTAAACTAAATGGATGGGTGGCCTCGATTCTCATGGCCGCAACCCTTTGATGGCTGGGTGTAAACTACCCCTCTTTTTCCGAAGGAACAATGTTATCGTTGCAATAGCTGAAAATTGGTAGATATATTCTTTAATATGTCTTCTCAAATAATATATAGGGTGGTCTCGATTTTGATGGCCGGAAATGATGGCAACCCTCATTGAAAGTCGAGCCATAGTCGAGCGCATGCGTTATTTTGCTTGCTAAATATAAATTTTTGAAAATGACAGCCTTCAAAGTCACTTTCAAAGTTAAAAGAGGACTCTGTGAAGAGGATTTTGCATACGGCTGTTGGTCTTTAGACAAAAAAAAACATGAAATTTTGTTAAAAAAGTGTTTGCCGCATATGGTGAGAAGATCGCAAGGTACTTCTTATTTGTTGCGCTTATGGTTTTTGAAGTATCTTTTTATAAAACAACTTTACGGCCATGAGAATCGAGGCAACCCATCCATTTGGTTTAAAGGTTACTATACTAATACATACCCGTTAGTATTGCCGGCTCTTGGACTATATGGTCCGAATATAACCAAGCGTTAACCAAAGTAAACGAATCGGTTGAGAGATGGTTACGGAAAATTCCGGTTACTTGGGGAACGCGAATATGATATAAAAAATAATTGACAGAATCTGCAGATAAAACCAGAACCGACAGTTGATAGCCAGTAACTAAATTTTGACATTTGGTTAACCAAATTTCAGGAAACCAAGGTCCAAAAGTAACCACTTTTCCAGAAAGCAGAGTAATTTGATTAATTTCGAACCGCGAAACCACAACCTTAGATATATTCGGATCACAGCCCTAGTTAAATGGAAAAAAAGTTGCGGAATTCAACGTTCAATAAAATGGTACTTTGACTTTTGAAAAATTTCGAACATTTTCCGAGATATCCGGAAAAAACAAAAATTTTGCAAAATCGATTTTATTTTTTCCTGAGCTTATTTTAGAAGATATTTCAAAATAAATTCCACTTCATCGTTACCACTTTTCCTACTCTAAAAGATGACATTATCAATTTTGAAATTTGCCGTTTCGTCTTTATTGGGCCACCATCATCAACTTCATTTTCTTAAATACGGACCCTTATTTTCTATTTTAGATTTTATAAGTTTCTGATGTGCCAAATCCGATGACGATTGCATTTATATTCGGAAATAGTATATTCTTCAACGAGCATATAATTATGGCTATTATTCACGAGAATGAAAATTCAAACACGAGCCGAAGGCGAGTGTTGGAATCATTCGAGTGAATAAAAGCCATTATTTGCGAGTAGAAGACTATACTTTCTCTTTGAACTTTTTGAAAAAAAATCATTGGTTTATGTAAGAAATAACAATCATCAAAAATCTAAACCCGCCTTAATTTTTTTAAATTGAAAGTGTCGTGATCTGACAGTAGACGTCAGTCATGTTTTGTTTGTATTAGACTATCCAAAACACGTGACACAAATATGGCCGACAAGAGGCACACAAACATTTGACACAAACACAAACCATAACGTCATTAGGTTATGTCATTAATGATCATAATCAAATAGTCATTTTCTATTGTGTGCGTCTCAATTTTTGGCCGTTTCTACCCAATTACGGAATCCCTATTGTTTGGGCAAGATTGCTCCACCTACATTTCACTTGGACACCCAGGACCTACCCTTAAAATGTGAAAATATTTATTTGTTGCCACTCCACCCTCCAGTGTTGTGCTACCTACTTTAAATAATGGATACAGGAGCATCTACAGAAAGACGATGAAACAGGCAAGGAAGATCTATTACAATGAGAGGTTGGGCATCCGCATCCAATAAACAAAAAGAGTAACGACCAACGCGAAAAAAAAAAAAGAAATATACATATGTGCTTCCAATTTGAAAGCAGATAATATTAATTCATACTACTGTACGATTGGTCAGAAACTGAGTATCAAAAATAGAAAATCTTCTGGATGGGACGATATCTCAGTTAGGCTATTGATGTGTTGGCGGATTCCATTATTAATTCTTTTCTTACCGGAAGTTTTCCCTCATTTTTGAAGCAATCTTGGGTAGTACCTTTGTTTAATATAGGGGTGATAAGAATTTACCATCTTATTACCGGCCAATATCCTTACTGGCAACTTAGACTAAAATTGTAGAGTGGCTAATTAAGGTGGATGGTGAGCTTCCTTGATAGACATAAATTGCTTTCTCTGTCTCTGTTTCAGCAGTCAAAAAACACTGATGATGCCATATTTCATCTCCTGGATGAGCTGTATTAGAACATAAATGACGAAGAAGTGGCCGCAGTAGTTTTTTGTGACCTGAAAAAAGCTTTCGATTGTGTCTCTCATGAAGTACTGCTTCTAGGGGTGCAGTACTTCAGAGGGGTTGGATATCACTGCAGGAGTGCCCTAGGGATCTGTTCTATTTCTAACATTAATAAAAATACGAGTAAAAAGAACGAGTATCAAAACGCAAATGAACAATGAGCACTATTTTTTTGAAAAAAATTTCATGACACATTGAATGACACATAAAAAAAGGGTTTGTGTGCCTCTTGGCGGCCATTTTAATTCAAGTTTGACAGCATCTTGGATAGTTCAATTGTCTCGTTGCGGCCCGTGTATTCCGCAAATACTGCGAATTTGATTGGTCAATAGGCCGTGGATTCCGATTATTATCCACGGGGCGTGTAGAATTAGTATCATTAAACAGTTCAATATCGAGCAAGAATGAATGTATTATTTAATGTTCGAAGAGAAATTTATATTATTGGTACTCTCCATAAGGACTTGATATGTTAGACAGAGACAGAAAAGAATTTTTATAGGAAATCACTAGAAAGTAAAAAAAATAGTATAATATTCAACGAGCAGGTAATCATGGCTATTGCTTACCGGCACCGAAGGATGGAGTTTGCACTACGAGCCGCAGGCGAGTAGTGTAATCACTAATCATCCGAGTGAGTAATAGTCATTACCTTCGAATAGAATACTATACTTTTTCTATGATTATTAGATGATAGGCACGAGCTATGCGGTTTTTTATTTAATTTTCGTAACAAAATTGACAATTCTGACAGTTGGAGGACAACGTGAGGTTAGGTTAGCACACGTCTTGTGTTTTGAGTCATAGGTTTTGGGATATAGGGCTGGGACTCAGTAACGGATAGAGATCGTTATCCCTATCGCTATGTCACTTGCTGTTTTCTTCTCGTTTCTCGAAATCAATAGAGAGGAGACGTCAATAGAGATAGAGAAAATATCTTTATTCGTTACAGAGTCCCAGCCCAGAAGCTCTTAAAATCTGAAATATAAAATCCAGCTCTGGGAATCTGTGCTCTATAGAATTCTACAGCTCGCTTTCCATAGTAGATAAACTGTGTTATTTTTTTAAAGATAAAAGTCAAAATGACATTATGTTGGCAATACAATGTAAAATTATCAATGGTTTCAAATTTTTTATGTAGAAAAGGCTTGTGCTGCCAACATAGTTACTAAATTTTTGACTTGGGGAATTATCTTTAAAAAAAAAACAGACTTTATCTATTTTCAAAAGCGATAGTCGGCAGAAACGGCACTCTGTGTCACTATTGACAACAGTTCGGCTACGTTCTCGGATCCTTTTATCATGCTACTAAAAATTTGAAAAACGTAGTACAAATCTAGGGGAAACTCTAGGAAATTTTTATTTCATTCCTAAGAAATGTCAATATTATTTATTGAATTGACTGTATACGTCATTAATAAGTTTGTTTTTGTTATTATTTGGTTTGCTTGTTTATACCATTAAAACCATTAAAAATTATGCTTTGCTGCCCATTAATAATTTAAATAACAATATTGTTGAAGAAGATGAGAATGTTAGATTTGAAGAAATAATCCGGCAAAGCTATAATATATATGTGGCTATAAACTGTGTCAAGAGCAGAGCAATAGGGAAAGTATCAATAGCCATCAGGGTTCAGTTTTCTGTGACTCAAGACCAGAAAAATCTAATTGAAGCAGGATTTATGGAAAAAATTAATTTTCCAGGTGTGATTACTATCACACGGCCGATGGGAACTAACAGTGAGGGAAATTATTAGACCACATGACGAAGAACCCTGGCTAATAACACCTAGAGAAAACACTGCTCCCAGGAACTCCAGAATTCAATTAGCCAAAATCACATCCAAACTCGAAATTGTATCGGTGTGTTTAAACCTCGGTTTAAACAAAGATTTGTGTGCACTTCAAAAGTGTTGAAGCATGCTCCAGAGAAAGTTGGGCGCTTTGTTATTGTTTGTGTTGTTTTACATAATTGCTCGGAAGGAAGACTGCTCTGGGACTCTGTGCTTTATAGAATCTTACAGCTCGCTTTCTATAAAAGCATTCTATTTTCAAAAGCGATAGTCGGCTGAAACGGCACTCTGATGTGCCACTGTCGACAACAGTTCGGCTACGTTCTCGGATCCTTTTATCAGGCTACTAACCATTCTAAAAACGTAGTACAAATCTAGGGGAAACTCTAGGGAATTTTTATTTGATTCCTAAGAAATGTCAATATTATTTATTGAATTGACTGTATACGTCATTAATAAGTTTGTTTTTGTTATTATTTGGTTTGCTTTTTATACCATAACTATTTTTGCTTCCTGAAAGTTGAGTATGAGTTTAAAAATTATGCTCTGTTGCCCATTAATAATTTAAATAACAATATTGTTGAAGAAGATGAGAAGCTTGAACATATTTGTCTGGAAAATATCCACTGATGAGCAGTGGCGGACCTAGGACCTTTGGGGCCCGACGCATAAAAAAATTTTGGGACCCTATCATGTTTTTTTTTTAGTTTTTTTCTTGTGGTGCTAGAGACAATAGCTGACGTCACACACATAACCTCATTTTTGATAGGGGGACAAACAAAGCGTTTGTTTGTCTCATGGCCGTTTTCATCAACTATTTTAGGGAAGCCTTAACGATAAGTATTCCTCAAACTGATATTTCTCCATGGAAAACTTAGGAAAACTGTCATTTTAAGGAATACTACTTAAGGCTTCTCTAAAATATGTAGTTGGCGAAAACGGCCGTCAAGTTTGTTTGAGAGAGGTAG